CACGCAGCAGCAGAGGGTTTCGGGAGCTGGGCATCGCTCATGGGCCGTGGTGGGCCATGTGAGCTCTGCAAGCAGCTTCGAGAATGACCGTGCTAAACGCTGCTGCTAAGTGCTGCAGAAAGGCAGACCCAAGCCCAGGCAGCCCATGCCTGTTGTCAACAGGGTTTCGTTGCTCCCCGCTCTTCTCTGCACGCGCGCACGCTATTTTTTTGCCAGCAGAGCAGGGATCCAAATTACCCCAAAGGCACTCGGGGCGGTGAGATGCGGGATACATGCCTTCCCATCTCAGTCATGCAAAGATCCCACAAGGATGCCTGTCCCTCGGCGGCAGAGCCAGCCCGCAGCCCTGCCCCGGGGAGGGGGGGGGGCCCAGCTAAAATCAGCATGGAGGGGGGCGGAATTCTGCATGGGGGGGGATGTTCTGCGAGCGAGGGGGTCAGTGAAGCGAGGCGCCATGCCTGCCTCTAGAGAGCCGCCCCGTGACCCGGAGCGGACGCGAGGGCCTGAGACATCGTGTTTGCACAGTGATGTTTTCAGACCTCGATGTTGCACAACCGGAGCTCTGAGTTTCCCACAGGCGAAAATCAATCTAATTCTGCTTCAAGAGCCCGAAGATGTTAACCCGTTAACCGGAGGACACAAACCAACTCCGCTGTGAGCCTTAAACCCGCAGACAACACTTCACCCAGGATCCCTCTCCTCCAGACGCCTCCAGCTCAGGCGCCTGGTGCCAAGACCCCGCTGCCCCCTCTGCCAAGCTGCAAGGTGCTATGAAATATATTAGATTTAACAGCAGTTGGGGTAGCAGGGCAGGGACTTCTTCTCCACTTAGCTTTCTTAGCTAGAGGAGCACAGCCAGCCTTGATAGCTTGGTACCGCTCCGGCCAGGCTGAGGAGCTGCATGGTTTACATCGAGTCCTGCCTTTAAAGGACAAACTTCCCAGCTACCGCTCTTCCTGTATCAGTTGACCGAGGATGAAAGTCCCCTGCGAGGCTCTTGAAGAGAAGCAAACAGCCCTGTGGTCCCCACATCCCGCTCCAGCCCTCTCTGAGTCACGGACACAGCACCCTGGGTGGGTGCAGGTGCTCTGCACCAGCACGTCTCAGCCTGCCCAGCGCCGGCGAGGCGGGAAGGGACCGGGGCACTTGGGCATCTCTGCCTCGTGCATCGAGCGGGGCTGAAGCCCACGCTGCACAGGACACACGGGGGTGGCAGGGACAGGGTCACAGCAAGACAGGGGGGCTGGCATCACTCCCACGGCTCTGATTTGCAGGAGCGGTTTCAGGGGTTGTCAGGGGGATGAGTGCCCGCAGCCACTGCGTTTGGAGGCTTGGACAGGCTGGTGAAATTAATTTTCTCGGCAAGCTTACATCTCACCAGGCATAAACTGAGACTTTGATGGAGTTCCTCCTCCGTGTGGTGCAGCCTCTGGGCTGAAGTCATCTCTGGAGGGTCCCCGGAGCAGCCCTGGGGCGAAGGCGTGAGCAGCCGTGCCCAGCATGTGCAGGGTCAGGTTGGGGAGCACCTCCAGCAGAGCCTCGTTTGCTCATAGTCGCTGTGCCGGGGAGACTCGAGGTCTGAAGCCAGGTCAAATGACGCTGTCCTGGCCCAGAGACAAGTCCCAAGGGGACCAGTGCACCCATCCGCAGGGAAGGTGGGACGGAGGCCAACATGCACACAGTATGGGGACACCTGGGTGTCTGCTGGAGGGGACGGGGACAGGTTGTGATTCAGCTGCCAAAACCCTGCTGCTAAACGTCAAGGGGGGGGACCTGTAGGTGAGACACCCTGCCCTCTGCGCTCCTGCACCAGCAAAACACTGGTGCAGCGGGCAGGGCTGCCTGGGGAGCCCTCGCCCCAGATTCATTTGTCCAGGAAAGGCCTGACTCCTCCTCGAAGCTTCAGCAAGTGAATTTGTCTGAATGTAGCACAAGGGCCAACCTCGGTACGTTCAAGGGTCGGGATGCAGCGAGCCTCTCCCGTACCTAGAGGGTTAAAGGGATGTGGTGGCGGGCAGTGCTCTCCCAGGACAGGATGGCCAAGGCTGGTGCACTCCTCCACTTGGCTATGAGTTGGAAAACAGCCACATGTCACCGCCTGGCCTGCCGGGGCCCCGGGCAGGACGGCACGGGAGCCTTCCTAGAAACCGGTGTCTGTTTTCTGACTGGTCGCCTGAATCCCTTGGGGAAGAGGGATGGCTTTGGCGCGGCTCCAAACGCCGGCTTGAAGAGGCTTCAACATGGTTTGGGTGCTGAGACACCCCCCCACGCACCAGCCTCTGGCACACTCGTGGTGGGCACTCATGCTAAGGTGGGCTAAGGAGCAGTCAGCTGGGAGAGGGATGAAGAGAGGAGGGGAAGGAGATGGGAACGAGCTGGTCCAAACTTTCACTTCTTTGGTGCACCAGGTTCCTGCACCCTCGCACCTCCGCAAAACACACATCCTTTAAATACACAGTTTTAGAGGCAGCCCGGAATGGATGCTGAAACGCAAAGCAAACCTCCTCCCTTGGTTTACTGGAGAGCAACGAGGGCATAGCCCCGTGTCAGACTGAGCAGTGACCGGCTCATGGACAACGCCTGCTTCTCCAGAAGATGCCCCTCAAAGCCCCAATTTAGCATGCCAAGGAGAAGGGGTCAGCTTGCACACACGGAACTCTCGCTGCCTGTAGGTACACGTGGGAAGAGGAGCTTGCAGTTTGTGCAGAAAGCACCAGCCCCTTGCAAAAAGCCTCCATTTCCTTCTCTTCTCGCTGTTGCTGTCCCCGCTGTCTTTGCCGACCTGCATCTGCTGCCTCAGCTGGGCACGCACCAGCCCTCCTCACCTCTGCGGGTGCCGCTGGCCGGGGCTCCCCAGGGCAGGAGGAGAAAGGGCTCCACAGCAAAGGTGTGCTAGGAGATGTTTGTCATTTTAATTTAAAGAATAAAATAAAATAGCAAAACCCCAACCATGACAAAACCTCATATCAATAGGATCCTCATGGGGATAGTTTAAAGGAAAAAAACAAAACAAAACAAAACAAAATAAACACGCTCTTTCTGCAAACTCAGAGTAATTGAATCACAGCATTAATTAATCATTTCAGTTCCTTTCTCTTCTATGGAAGAAAACAGACTGACCCGCTGAGGTGGGTATGCCTCTCGTGTGAATAAACAAACCGCTTTTACCGGTGGCCCTTCTCCTCCTCCTCCTCCTCCTCCTTCTCCTGCCAGATTCCCACCCCCCGGCTCACCCCCGGGGCCACAGCCACTCTGTCCGGCAGCACCGGGACCCTCTGACCCAGGGCTCGGTGGCTTGGCTCTCGCAGGAACTGGGGGCCACCGTGCACAGGGACACCCCCACTCTTTCCAGATACCTTCTCCCATCCCCGCTCTCCCCACCCAGGGGCTCTGCCTGCCGGCCCCCAGCCCGGCTGAGGGGTGAACTGGGGATGGGTCGCTCTTTCTTAGGCTCGCTGTTGCGGGTGAAATCACTGCCTCGGCTGCCCTGCTCTTTGTTGGGATGCCTCACTGGGGGCCCAGTCCAGGCTGGAGACCAGCAGCGGGTGCTGGGATCACAGAAGTCGAGCCTTTAGGAAGCAGGAGGCAATGCTCCACAGCAGCAGGGACAGCGAAAAGCAGCTTGCAGACGCCCGTGGCTTCAACACGAGCGTTGGTGATGTTTCACCGAAAGCCTGGGCTCTAGGACCCTAGCACCTGAGTATTTTGACAGACAGTGCCAGCATCAACAGGCCACCCCACTGGGTGGGTACCAGTCCTCCCAGTCCCTCTGCTCACCCTGCGAGTAGCGGCAGGAGAAGCCGAGCCGCCCTCGGAGGTCACTCAAGGCGCCTGTGACAAAGCAGGGAGCCTCCAAAAGCCCAAGCGGAGCCCAGCAGCTTTGCCAGCTGCCAGCAAGGCACCGAGGGACGCTAGCGGTTCCTCAGGTTGGGAATGATCCCCCCAGCCTTGGGATTGGCAAAGACCAGCTAGGAACTGCGGCCACAGCGCACTCAGAGGGGTTGAAAGCAGGGCAGAAGAGAAGCCAGTGTTGCTTGCATTTAAAGTACTGACAAGAACCGTTCCCTGGAACCAATGTCATTATTTTGGGAGAAAAGAAGGGTGGGGCTGCCCAACCCTTGGCCGTGATGGGCCATGGACAGCCCCGGGGCAGCCCCGTTGTGACCAGCAAGGGCTAAAGAGCAGGCGGGATCCTCACCTTGGGAAGGAGGGGACAAGATCTGTCCCTCTTGGAGTGTCCAACCTGGCAAAGGGCTCTGCGGGGAGGTGGGGGGACTTCTGCCTAGTCACGTCCTGGGAGGTGGCCACGAGGGCTGGAGGGGTTTTGTCCAGCATGGGGACAAAGTATCCAAAAGATACAGGAGCTTGTCCCTGCTGCTCTTGTTGGAATATAAAGGGAAGCCAAAAGAAGCATGCGGGTAGTTTCCTGCCCGGAAAACAAATCTCCTTCTAAGAGGAGGCACCAGGGGAGCAAATAACCCTGGGTTCCCTGGGGGGGGTGCCTGCCCCTGGGGGTGCAGGCTGCTGATATGCTGGCGGCAGGGTGCTCACCGAGCCAGTTCCGAGGTGCTCAGAGGGACCCGAGGTGCCTTGGATGGCGGATGCTGGGGAGAGGTGTTGGTTTGGATGGGAGCAGGCAAGCGGGGTGCCAGACCTCGTCCCGGTGTCCCGAGCGGTCCTGCACCACCCCACACATCCCGGCACGCCGAACCAAGGCGGGGGTCCCGACCCACGGGGCACCCCCAAGGGGTTCCGGTAGGGACCCGAGAGTGCGGGAAAGTTGGCGGAGAGACAGCAAGACACGCCACCCCCCTCTCCCTCCCCCCCCCACCCCCCCAAATTCCTGGGGCCACCAGGTGCTACATCCCCGAAGGGGGGGGGGGGGGGGTGCGCACCCCTCCTTCCCCAAGCACCCTCAAGCAGCCTGCCTCCTCCCCCCTCAGGGGGTTCCCTCTCTCCCCGTGCAGACGGACCCCCCCCCCACACACACACACACTCACCGGGCAGCCCCCAGGCCGCTCCGCCGCCCTCCGCCGAGCCGTTCTCAGCGGCCATGGTGCAGCGCCGGCCCCGCCGCCGCGCCGTCGGGGCTCGGGGCAGGCATGGCCCCGGCCGGCTCCCGGCTCCCGGCGCCGCCGTGCGCGGCGGAGGGGCGGGGAGGGGCGGCGGGAAAGGGAGGGCCCGGCGCTACCGTCTCGCCCCGGTCCTTCCCCCCCCCCCCCCCCCCCCCCCCGCTTCCCCTCCCTCCCTCCCTCCCTCCCTCCCTCCCTCCCTCCCTCCCTCCCTCCCTCCCTCCCTCCCTCCCTCGCAGATGTGCCGCCCCCAGATGTGCGCCCCCCCCACCCCCCCAACCCCGGTGCGTCTTTACGCGACCGCTGTCCTGCCCCCCCCCCCCCCCTTCCTCCCCACCTCCAGATGTGGCTCATTGCCAGGCAGATGTTGGGGGGGGGGGGTACCCCGCATTCTCCCATTCCGCCCCCCCCCCCCCCCCCCCCATCGGGAGCGCTCCCCCGCAGCACCACGGACAGCGCTCCACCCCCCCCCCCCGCGAGTGGGTAGGGTGTAAACCCCGCTCCGGGGGCGCCCCCGACGCCCCAAGAGCGAAGCGCCGGGAGAGGCGGAGCGGGGTCCGGCACAGCCCGAGCAAAGGGCCCCCCCCCCCAAATACCAGTTAAAATCCGGTGCTGGAGCACGCACCCGCACCCCTGACACGCAGGGTGAACTCTCTGCTGGGTTATCACTAGCACTCATTTTTGGGGGGGGTTTCCCACCCCCTCCCTCCCCCAGGAACAAAAACATCACCAGTTTCACAATCAGTGGACTGCCCCACAGGTTCTGCTTTCTCCGCTTATCATAGTTATGAGAAAGTGTCAAGCATGAGGAAGCAAACCATAAAAAAAATAAATCTGTCTTCCCTTCCCTCTACACCTTTCCTCTTCTCTCTGCTTCTACCTAGACCAACTCTCTCACCCACCCTCTGCTTCTCACTTGTGCTGTCTCACAGTTACACATGGGTATCATTTCCCCATCTGCTGGGCTCTCACACATACATACATAAATACACATAAACAAATAAACGCCCCACTTTCTCCCTCCTTTGAGTGATTACAGTCTCCGACCATCCACTTGGTCACCTCCTCGCCCTCCTCTCTTGCATCTCTTACCCTGGGAGGTAGCGCTTAACTAAAGGCTGGTGTTGGATGTCAACATCTCATCTGAAACATTAGCCAGATGTGCCCAGTTCACAGATTTGACCTCTCTCTTCCCCAGATCCTGCAATCTGGTATCTTCTTCCTGGAGATGAAGACACATTTCTGAATCCCAGTGGAGAGAACATCATCAGATAATTCGGACAATTTTCTCTGATGACACATCTCCAGCTCCGAGTGCCTCACTCTGAAAAGGTTAAAGCCTTTCAGCACTTGCACCCGCAGCTCGGCTGCTGCTTTTACACACCGTGAGGCCCCTGCCACAGCAGCAAGGCAGCTGATATTTATTTCGGTCACCCTAGGCCAGATCCTGGCATTTCTTTAGCGCGTGTTCGGTCAACTGGTATTCATTTTCTTTCCTGCCTTCTTTGAGGAGCAGGAAGACGAAGCTTTCCCAGCAGCAGCTGGTGCGGAGCCACGCGACTGCGCTGAGCCCAGTGAGGCTTCACTGATTTTCACCAGCTTAACATCTGCCCGCACCATTTTTGCAGTCACCGACCAAAACCTGTCAAAGATTCCAGCCAGTTAATTGGAGTCTCTTGCCTCGCACCAAAGCCCTGACCTCAAATAAATACCACCCTCTCCTCCTCCTTCTCCCTTCCTAAAAAAAAAATAATGTGAAAAAAAACTTTTGCCACGCTCTGGGCGAACTCATCAGACTGCAGAAATATCTGCTTCGAAGACAATTTGATTGCGCTGGAGTTGGGTTATTTGATTGGACTCTTGTTTCAAACTACAACTCCCCATGGAGAGACAAAAGACTGTAATGAACAGCGAGAAGTCATCTTCCAAAGCTGAGCCATCATGGAGATAAAAATGTGTTACCAAACGGATTACAAAACTTTTCAACTTCTGACTCTTAGCTTTGCTTTATGCACTCTCATTAGTCAGAAGAAGTAGAGTTTGTGAAAGGCCAGACTCCCCATACATATTCCAATTAAAGATAGCACTTGCTTCTCTTGCCTTGACGTATTCGCCCATTCCCCGCTCATGGGCTGCCAGCGAGTGTCACCAGCCCCTCTTGCTGTCACCAAAGTGACATCTCTTTCCTTCTTCGGCCCTGTGGGCACCGGTCATGGACAACAATAGCTCCACTCCAGCATCTGACCCCAGCTCCAACCTTTCCTCTGGCCATACACGTTGTCCCAGGCTGTGGTGTGGGACAGGAGGGACTTGTGGTTGCCCCATGTCAGAAGCCAGAGGCTAACCTGCCTTCGTGCTCAGTGGCCCAAGCCAAGGAAGGACCTTCCTTATGCTCTTTTGGGATTAGGATCTGTGACAGTCTGAATCTCCTGCCATCCTGCTTGACTGACACAGCTTGGTCTGGCAGGTACCTGGGGAGTAAAAGCCAGCATACATCACCTTGTAGGGATCTGGGATACTCCTGGAGCTGGACATTTTTCATGTTACTGCACATCCCCCTTTTTTTCATCACTGTACTTCCATCCTCTATTTTTGGATGGCTTCCTTGTCTTTTTGGTTTGTTTGGGTTTTTTTGTTTGTTTGTTTGTTTGTTTTGTTTTTTTTTTCTATTTTTTTGTTGTTTTGTTTTGTTTGTTTGTTTTTTGTTTGTTTGGTTGTTTTTTTTTTCCCCTCTGCAGCCGTGCCCGTGAGCCTTGCAGTGCCTGATGTCTAATCGGCAATTGCTGCACTCCCATTATCAGCTGGCAATGCTCCACCAGGCTCCCCCATGTCAAAAATTGCCCTCACACCAAAAATGACACAAACACTTAGAAACCTCTTCTCCCCTCTTCTACCGGGGTGGGCCCTGAGGTGGGAGATGCAGGGGCCAGTGGCAGATGGCCACCTTGATGCTCCGTCTTGGCTTGTGGCAGCTCCCACCCACAGCCATCCCGAGGCGGAGGAGGAGCAGTTACACCACCGAGTGGGTGCTCAGACCACAGGTACATATGAAGAGCAGGGAAGGAGTTATGGGACGTTTACTCTGACTTCCCTCCCTACCCAGGCCCGGGAACATCCACCCGTTATCCCTGAGAGATTCCCAGTAACTACTCCCAGGCGCAGCATGAAGCAGGCAGCAGCCTCAGTAGCAGCCGGCGCCGGCTCCTGGCACGCAACTTAACGCCAGCCTGTGGCTGCTGGGGGGGGGGGATTTGGGGGGGATCCACCCCTGGTCCCACAGCCCCACGCTCACGGCAGGGACTCTGCCGGTGAAGAAGCAGCTACCACCCATCCCTGCGGCCCACGGGGCACGTGCCCGTGCAGACACACGCCTCCGGCACCAGCTGCTGCCGGGGATAAACCCGGTTGCCACCAGTTCTGGCCAGGCTTCCCCCCGTCTCCGCACGCCATCCCCCCGCCTGGCAGCTTCCACTGGTCCCCAGTGAAAATACCCCAGCTCGTCCTCCCAGCCCACTCCTAGAGAGATGTCCCCGTACATACGCTCGCACGCTCCCTCTCCTTTCTTTCGGTTCCTCTCCAAGGCACTTGGGTTTTCTTTCTGCCTCACACACACCCTTTCACGCTCCGCTTCCCTCCCTCCGGCACCAGATTCCCGCTCCCAGCGCAGCGCAGGCAGCCATCCCCCCGTTTCCCTCCGACAGACATACTCCCACAAACCCGCTAAACCCATCCACATGGCTTTAATATTCATAAAAGTCAACCCTAGTCGAAAGAAAATGTGGCTGATGATGAAGGTATTTACATTGCAAATCACTTTTAATAACCCTCTGGTAGTCAGCCTGGTGATAAATGCTAATCCGTCTATCAGCCCAACAACAAAATAAACCCAACTCGGAAAGGGGAGAGGCAGCGAGAGAAAAACCAGCTGGAGACAGCGAGAGAGGCTCAGCCCTCCCGAGCATCACCCCGCCGAGGGAGACGGGCACGAAGGCTTCGCTCAGCGGTCGGGTAGAGCATTAAAGCATCACCACGGGCAGCAGGAGCAGCCGCTCCGCCTGCTCTTGGCCCAGCGAGGGGCCACCCCGGGCACCCCGGGGGCGTCTGCGGGGCGGAGGATGAGCCCCAAGGCTGGCAGCATCTTCACTCGCTGGCCTGGAGCTGGTGTGGGTGGGCTTTTGCCCTGTGTGTTCTGAGGGGTGAGCCCACGGGGGGGGGACACGGAGCTTTCCTGACAGCATCTTCCCTCTCTCCTAATAGTTTGCCTGGCACTGTGCGTGAAGGGGCTTAGGATAGTTTAAAGGGTCTGAAATCAGTCTCACTCCCAGGCTGTATTTGCTTGGAGCTTCCCAAGGCTGCTCTCCCAGTTGAGGAGACGCAAGGTGGTGTGAGCACAAGTCCTCCTCTTCCCCATCCTGCACCGTCCCCAGGGAACCAGCCTTATCCCCCTTATTCCTGCTGTCCCCGGGGCAGCACCCCACGAGTGCCCCGAACACGAGCTCTGGGGGAGGGCAGTCACTCACGGCCGTGGGGTGATCCGGGACCCAAAACGCGCTGGGACGAAACCGCGCTGCAGGGAGCAAGCGATGCTGCCGGGGAGCGGGGCGGGGGGATTCGCAGGGCCCGAGGAGGAGCAGGGCTGCTGCGGCCCTCCCGAGAGAGGGGGGGACCAAAGGCAGCCGGCCACGCTCCGCTGCCTCGGCCGGGCCCCAGGCAGCAGCCACGTCTCACGCTTCGCGGCGCGCCCGGACCAGCGACCGAGGAACAAAAATACCGACGCTGGAGCCGCATTGGACACATCACTTAGTGCTCAGCTGCTGCCCAGCCTCCCCGGGCTGCTCGGAGAGACGGGGTAAGAGGAGGTTCTTTCGTTGTTTGGAAAAATGGCAATTTTTAGCACCGGTGAAGGGTGCCAGAGCCACGGCCCCGGGGAGCGGGTGACTATGTTGAGCCACGGACCAGCTGCAGCCCCAGCAGCCGGGGTGGTGGTGGCACCAGTGGGTCCCGCTCGCCCTGGGGTCCCGGGCAGGGCACGACCAG